CCGGCTCCCTGGAGCCGGTAGGCTAAGGAAGGTTTTAGAAGGGAATTGTGGAAACAAGACAAAGAATATATTTGATTGATTTAAGTGTGGGGGGGGGGGAAATCCCTTAGTTACAAGTTAGTTGGTGGCTTCACATTTGTATTGTTCTGGGTTTCTGTTTGTTTCCATAGGAATCTAAGGTATTGGTGGTATCACAGCTACATGTCCAGTCCCCCAAAATAGCTATTTTAACATCTTAAACATCCAATCCTTCAATACCCCATCAAATACACACACACACACACACACACACACACACACACACACACATCTTTTTTGTCTGTCCTTGGATATGGTCCCATGAAATTAGAGTTGGCAGCTTCCTCAAGGAGATGACTGTATTGCTAGCAGTTGGGATGAGTTCTTTCTTAAAGGGGTTTGGGGACAGCCTGTTCTGGTGCCACCACTGAACAGGAAACAAAGCCTAGTTCATTTTCAGAGAAGTGACAGGGCAGAAGAGGGACAAAAAAAGGAGGAATCGCAAAGGGTCAAAAGTCATGGCAAGACAAACAGACGCCGAGTGTTAGGGACACTTTCTATGCAGAGTCCTCTGGACTAGGAAGGGCCTAGCAGTTATCCCTGATGATCAACTTCTATTTTCCAGGTGGAGGGAAGTAGGAACACATTTGACAAATGTATGTCCTGGGCTAGGGATGGGCCTTGATTGGTAGAGTGGTGTGCAAAGCCCCGGGTTTGATCCTCAACGCTGCACACACTTGGCATGGTGGCACATGCCTATCATCCCAGCACTCGGGGTAGAAGCAGGAGGACCAGGAGTCCAGAGGCATCCCTGGCTGCATAGCAGCTTAGGTTAACAAGACTGTTTCCAAACAAACAAATATGGGGCCCATAGGTACACGGGGTTCAGAAAACAGTTCTCAGACTGACACATCTCATCTCATTGTCCCTTTCAGGTCCCGTGGTGGTGCTTTGCTTTATCTCTCCACAGATTAGTGGGTTTACAACACGCCTGTCTGTGGATGCAAATGTCCAACCCCAGGTGCTCTCTTCAGGTCTTGGTGACTCTCACAGGTTTCCAGAGTTTTCCATTATTGCTCCATTTGTCATGCTGATCTGTAATCAGTGACCTTTGGAACTACTGCAGTCGCTGTGGGGTGCTACTGACTGTGCCCACGTCAGGCGGAGGAGTTAATGGATAATCTCTGCGTGTTCTGATGGCTCCACCTACCGGCTGCCTCCCCCATGCCAGACACAACAAAGTTGAAATGAGGTCAGTTAATAACCCCACAGTGGCCTCCAAATGCTCAAGGGAAAGGAAAAGCCACACGTCCGTCACTTCGAATCAAAAGCTAGGGATGATTCAGCTTAGCGGGACAGCACACTGACAGTTCAGACAGACTGAAAGCCAGGCCTCTTATGCAAACAGCCTACTTATGGGTACAGAGGGAGAGTTTTTGAAGGGAATTAAGGATGCTTTTCCAGTAAACTTAGCAATGATGAGAAAGTGGGACAGGCTTCTTGCTGATGGGTGAAGGCTTTAGTGGTCTGGGTGGGAGATTAAACCCACCAGGACGTTCCCTTAGTCTTCAAGTCTAATCCAGATCAAAGCCTTTCCTCTTTTCAGTTTCATGGAGGCTGGGAGAGGTCAGGAAGCAGCAGAAAAAAAAGGCTGCTTCATGAGGTTGAAGCAAAGAAACTGTCTCAAACATTACTGTGCAGAGCAAGGCAGGAAGTCGAGGGGAAGCTGCAGCAGGCTCTCGGGACATCCCAGCTAAGGGCATGGAGGCAGTGGCCAGACCACACCTTGGCACTACGCTCAAACAACATTCCCAGAACTTAAAATCTTTGAGACAGGGGCTTACTATGCAAGGCAGGCTGGTCCCAGGCTTGGAATCCTCCACTCACCCTCCTGAGCAGTAGGATTACAGTTATGTGCACAGATTCCTACTCAAAATATTTTGTTTTGTTTGAGACAGAGTCACTATGTAGTCCACGCTGGCCTCTCTAACTCTTGATCCTCCTGCCTCAGCCTCCAGAATACTGGGATTGTATACTTTTTTTTTTTTTGGTTTTTCGAGGCAGGGTTTCTCTGTATTGTTTTGGAGGCTGTCCTGGAACTCGCTCGGTAGACCAGGCTGGTCTCGAACTCAGAGTGATCTGCCTGCCTCTGCCTCCCGAGTGCTGGGATTAAAGGCGTGCGTCACCAACGCCCGGCTTGTATACTTTCTTAATTGCTTTCTGTTCCTGTGCTAAAAGACTGACCAAAACAACTTGGGAAAGGAAGGAATTTCTTTCCTATTACACTTTCAGGTAATAAATAGTTCATCATTTAAGGAAGCCAGGGCGGGGGCTCAGAGCAGGGAACTGGAGGCAGGAATTGAACAGGATGATTGAACCAGGAAGGCTGCCTACTGGTTTGCTTCCTTATGTAACCCAGGACCACCCGCTCGGGGATTGTTACATCAATTAGCAGTCAAGAGCATGTCCCACAGTTGCCTCCACAGGCCAGTGGATAGAAGAAATTCCACAGTTGAAGTTGACTAGCTTATGACAACACAGTAAAGACTAACCAGCAAAATACCAACATCCCTGTAATTGTTTTTAATGAACTTCGATTTATTTCATAGATAAAATGCTATTTCACACTTAGTTGACAATAGCATGGTATAAACAGGATTATTTTCTTTTTGTTTAGGAAACAAAATTCATGTGGCTCATTTTGCTGTTTGCTTTATGGAGACTAGGAATAGACTCTCATTATCTTCTGGGTATGTCTGCGTTTGTTTGCTCTCACTTATCTCCAGCCCAAAATAGCCCCATGTCAAAGTGGCATTAGGCTTTAGATCAGCAGCAGAGTGCTTGACTGACAAGCACAATGTGCTGGGTTCAGCCCTCATGAGTGAGTGGGGGAGGGGTACTTCATGAGTGGGGGGAGGTGAACTTCATGAGTGGGGAGGTGTACTTCATGAGTGGGGGAGGGGTACCTCATGAGTGGCTTCACCAGGCTTCTTGCATCACCCTGATGGGGAACTGGGGCTTCTTCTTACAGAATTTAACCGTTTCCCAACTAACTTGGCGTCACTCTGTGGCTTGAAGGGATAGATAGCGAAAGGGTGTGTCTGGGATTTCAGCCAGGATCTGGAAGAGCTGGCCTGGTAGGATTGAGAGGCAGTAAACTATGTATTCATGGCATATGTGAGGCCTTTGGGTGAAAAACTACCTGGCTCTTCATGATAAGAAAGTGGAACAGACCCTCCACTTAAAGCAGATCAACTGTCCCACTGGGCAACTCAAGAGAAGTTTGATGGAAGAAGAGAAATTTGGACTACACCTTTAACAGGAAAGGCTATAAAAGGAAGGGCAGGAAGAACAGTGCGTGCTCTAACCACTGAGTCATCTCTAGCTCTCCCTTATGTCTTAAGGTTTATTTTATGTTATGAGTGTTTTGCCTGTGTGTGTGTGTGTGTGTGTGTGTGTGTGTGTGTGTGTGCCCGCGCGTGCACCACATGTGTGCTTCTAACACACAGGTCAAACATGGATGTTGTATCCCCTAGAACTAGTTATGAACAATTGTGAGTTGCCATGTGGGTGCTAGGATTAGAACCCAGGTCCAGACCTCCCCACTCCCCCCACCCCCTATAAGACCCAATCTCTCTATCTAGTCCTGGCTGGCCTAGAACTTGTAATGCAGATCAGCATTGCCTTGGAATTGTGTCCATCATGTTGCCTCTGCCTCCTAAGAACTGAGATTACAGGACATTAGCATGCCCTGACTCATGAGGTTGTCAGTTTGGGATCATTTTTATGGCTTCCTAAACTTTCAACATGATGATGAAACTGTCCTTGTTATCAAGAGGGACACATAATAACACTGACATTCTAAGACACGTTTCTTAAGTGTAAACTCTTCCTTTTAAAAGTGTATTAATGATAGGTGGAACACAGAGGGTAGTGAACTGTTTTGATACTATAATTGCACACATCTGTCTATTGTCAAAATCAGTAGACTATACAGGGAGAAGAATGAACTCTGAGTAAACTATTGACCTTAGGCAATAGCAATGTATCCAAATAGGCTCATCTGTAACAAAGGCACCACAGCTGGCACATTTGGGAAAACTCTTGCCTAAGATGTGTGAGGCCCTGGGTTCTGTAGACCAGGCTGGCCTCAAACTCACAGAGATCCACCTGCCTCGGCCTCCCGAGTGCTGGGTTAAAGGCATGTGCCACCAATGCCAGGGGAGGCCCTGGGTTCAATACCTATCTATTTCTCTGTCAGTCTTTATCTGTCTATCTATCTATCTATCTAAATATGTAGCTATACATAAAATATCACAAAGGTAAAATATTAATAAAAGGAAAATGTGTATGTGAAGGTAAAGACTTAGGGGGCATTATCATTTATCACTACTAAATATTTCTATGAACCTAAACCCTACTCTAAAAATAGCCTGTTTGGTGATTTAAACACTACTTAAATACAGTTGGTATGGTGATTTAAAACAAATCTATTCAGCCAGGTGATGAGAGACACACATGCCTTTAATCTCAGCACTTAGGAGGCAGACAGAGAGGCAAGAAGAACTCTGAGTTCAAGGCTAGCCTGGTCTACAGAGCGAGTTCCAAGATAGTCAGAGATACACAGAGAAATCTTGTCTCAAAAACAAAACAAAACAAAACAAAAAACAAAAACAAAAACAAACAACCCCCCAACCCCAAATCTATTCCTGCAAGGGTGTCTTTCTAGTCTCCTCCAGTTTTTTTATATTTAGTATTTTGTGTTTTCACACATGAACATGCCATGACATGTGTGTGGACACCTCTTTTCTTTCAACTTTCAGGAAACGGCTCTCTCCCTCTATCTTGTAGGTTCCAAGGATGAAATGCAGGCTTGAATGCAGGTGCCTTTACCTACAGAGTCAATTCTCTAGCCCTACAAGTATGTTTTCGACAAAGAAAACCATTCACCATTCAGCACAAATGATACATGTCACACTCTGTCACTGTTGAAATCAGTCACATATATGCAAGCTCTGATTAGACCACACCCCTGGTCCCACACACTAGAGTCTTCCAAAGTTTGTGCTGCCCTCATTTTCACAGCTCCAACAGTTCAATTATTTATGTAGGAAGATGCCAGAGCCATATGGAGGAGCAACTTCCCTTATGGGTTCCCATTTCTGGGTTGCCTCCTTCCCCAGGGAGGATGACATTCTTTGCCAAATAAGTCCTGATGCAACTTGGAAGGGAGGCCCGTTTATAAACACCCAGACATACGAGTGTTTCCTGGATCCACGCTGTCCTCAGATCTCAGCTTGAGTGCATTCTCCAGCCTTCTTTCTCTGGGAGTCTCCAGGCCACATTCCAGGGCCCCCTCCTCCAGCTGACAGCAGGAGGCTTGACACAAGGGGAAGTAGGCCTTCTTGCTTGCAGCTTTGCTGAGATGGATGGACATGCCTTTTGCAGCCTGGCCTGGCACTTTATCCAGTGTAGTGCAGTTTTCCACTACAGGCTGCCACAGGCCCAATGCTCAGGGGCCTCTCTCCTATGTAACAAGTTTTGTTATTGTTATTGTTGTTGTTTGGGGGGTATTTTTATTTTAGGATTTGTTTTTGATTTTTAAATTTAAGTATATGCACTTCATGTGCGCACAGTGTCCCAGGAGGCCAGAAGGGGGATTGGATACCTGAGAGCTGAGGTTACAGGCATCGTGAGCCTCTGAAGCAGGGCGCTAGGACCACAGTGAGTACTCTTGATAGCAGAGCCATTTTTCCAACTCTGTAACCTTTTGTTTCTAACCATCAGAGTCATCCTTCTGCTCTGCCTGTAGACGTTAACCCTGCTCTTCATCCCTGCCACACCGTTACCCCGCTAGTAAACAGTTCTCTTCCAGAAATGCAGTAGGTAGAAGAGCTACATGAATGACAGCAATTGGAACCCATCCCACATTGCATCCCGAATTCCCCAGAGTCCTTTCCAGTTTGGAAACTGAGGCCCAGACACTGTGTTCCTTCCCAGAGGTGCCAGGCATGGAGGTCTAACCTTTCTCACACGTGCTCACTTGCAGACTCAAGGGCACTTTCCCTTCCCCACAGCCTGGGAGACCACAAGACACCCCAATCCCCTCTGAATTCTGGAAGCAGGGCCCCTGGCTCTTCAAATCCTGAATCTTTAAAGTCGCAGCTAACTGACCTGGGGTCATAGCTCTGCACCTCCAGTTCTTACCTGCAAAGTGGTCACGAGTTGTACCCGGTACTGCAGGTTGTACACAAGGAAATGCTTGCTCAGCACAAGGCATAGCCCCGGTTTCAATGCCAACCGTTGACGATCAGTGTGGTCAGTATGTTTTTATTGGGTCTCAGGAACTACCAGGAGCCACGTGGTGATGCCTGGCTAGACTGGGGCATAGGGAGGCCTGAGGCGATCCTCCAGTCACCTGTGTACCCTGTGCCCCAGGAGATTTCTACTCACATCTAGACGACTGCAGCTAGGGCGAACACTCTGAACTGTCTCCAACTGTATTAGTTACTTGTATAACAAAGTATCTGATAAAAGCAATGGAAGGAAGGGAGGGAGCGAGCACGGGAGGGAGGGAGGAAGGGAGGGAACTAGCAAGGGAGGGAGGGAGGAGGGTTTATTTGGTTCATAGTTCATGGTTGGGAAGACAAGGCCAGAAAGGCAGGAGCTTGAGGTGGCTGTCCATGTGGCACCTGCAGTCGGGGTGGAGTGGGGCAGGCTGGGGGGGGGGGAGGGCCAGGGACTCAGAGAGGCATGTGCGTTGGTACCCAGCTTGCCACCTTCTTCTTCAGTTCTGAACCCCGGCCCATCGGATGGAGAAATGCAAATCTGGGGAAAGTCATCCCACTTCAATTGAACAACAATTAAGCCTACAGAACTCACAGTCATGTCCAGAGATGTGTTTCTAAATCCCATCAAATTGATAAATTAACTGACACATCAAATCCCCATTTTTACTTCTTGTTTGGAGACAGAAGGGGGAAAATACTCCTTGAAAAAGATTCCAGTGTGCATTTCTTCGAGTAGCTCATTTTCTTTTTGTCCTATATTCTTTGCATTATCAGCACTTTTAGAAGGCTTAAAAAAAAAAAGAAAAAGAAAGTTTTTATGTAAGCTAGCCAGCCTTTAACCTCCTACATAGCTGGGGATGGCCTTAAGTTTCTGAACTTCCTGCCTCCAGCTCCTGAGTGCGGCACACCACCACACCTGGCTTATGCTTCCTCCATCAAAGCCACAACTCCTAATTCCTGTCAAGTAGCACCTAACGACTAAACATTCAAATATATGAGCCTATAGGGGCCATTGCTATTCAAACCACCACAGGTTGATAATCAAAAAAGCACTTTGCATCCACTAAGTATGGTGGTGCATGTCTTTTATCCCAGCGTTTGGGAGGCAGAAGCAGGAGGATCTCTGTGAGTTCCAGGACAGCCTCCAAAAAACAATACAGAGAAATCCTGTCTCGAAAAACCAAAAAAAAAAAAAAAAAAACCAAAAACCAAAAACCAAAAAACAAAAACCTTTAATCCCAGCACTAAGAAGGCAGAGGCAGGCAGATCTCTGAGTTTGAGGCCAGTCTGGTTTACATAGTGAATTCCAAGGCAGCCAGGGCTACACAGAGAAACCCTGTCTCAACCCCCAACCCATATCCAAATAAGAAAAATAAAATTGAAAGGCAGGAAAGAAGGAAAGGAGGGAGGGAGGGAGGGAGGGAGGGAGGGAGAGAGGGAGAGAGAGACAGAGAGAGAGAGAGAGAGAGAGAGAGAGAGAGAGAGAGAGAGAGAGAGAGAGAGAGAGAATCAAAACAAGGGTTGGGGACATGGAGATCTACAATGTAATTTTTGTAAAAACATATACGCACATGTGTGCAGAAAACAGTAGAACAAGTCTTTGTACGCACAGTGCCTATTGACTTCTTGAAATTGTTGTATGCTGTCTGAATTTCTTTCCAGTCAGGGTGTAGAAGCTTTATAAGGCTGCTCCAGCACACTAGCTCCTAAACCACAGAAACAGGCCCTCTGAGGAGAGCTGTAAGCAGGGTGTTCAAAATGAGCCCCTTATGTTCTTTGCCTGCAGCCTTGAAACATGCTGGCTCAGTGCATTTCCAGTGGATCCTATACTCTGCCTTTCTTGTTATTTATTTATTATTTGTCAGCGACAGCAGAATTATTTCATTGTTTTCACACGCAGGGGACCGTAGCCAAGGCATTGAGCCTGCTAGATAGGCATTTTACTACAAACCATCCACCAGTCCCTAAGCCCTGCACTGCTACCGAGTCTCCAGGTAGCCCAGATGTGGCTGCTCATCCAGGGGCTTCACCAGAATCAAGGTTCAGACCAGCCCTGGATTTTGACATCAGGGTTCTTTGTCCCTAAGGCATGACTCAGAGAAATACACTTATCTACCTTAATCTTGGATCTCTGTCTGTACAGTGTTAAAGTGACCCCTGTGAGAGATGGCTTATCAGTTAGGCACTAGCTGCTTTCCCAGAGGACCCAGGTTGGTATCCCAGAGTCTAGTGGCTCACAATGGTTTTAACTCCAGTTCTAAGGGATCCAATGTTCTCTTCTGATCACTTAACTGCACACGGTGCACCGATATATACGAAGGCAAAACACTCAAATGATGCGTGATATAATAAGATTTAAAAATAAAAACAAATTCAAAATAGACAAATAAATACATATATACAAAAAATGACTCCTTGGTCCCCAAGTCTCTTCAGACACTTCAAAGCCCCTTTAGATGGCTAAGTCATTCCTCAGGGCTCCCCCCACCCCCAAGCTCACCCTGATTAACCTTTATTGGGTTCTTGTAGCTCTCCTTGGCTGTGTCTCTGCCAACCTGATTACTACCAGCAGATGGCAGCAGAGGACCAGGACCGTCCCAGAGGGAGGTTTCTAACCAATTCCTTGACTGGCCGGTATTTGTAATTTATTATGGCTATTATTTTATGTGTGGGTGTTTTGCCAGTATGAATGATTTGTGCATGGTATGTGTGTTCATGGTACCTTCAGAGGCCAGAAGACGGAATTGGATCCAATAGATGGGTATGTGTAAAATAAATGTGTGTGTGTGTGTGTGTGTGTGTGTGTGTGTGTGTGTGTGTACATGGGGGATTGAAAACAGGGTCTCTCAAAGCTAGGCAAGTCCTCTATCTTGAACTACATTCTCAATCCTTTTAAAAATATTTTAATTTTGAAACAGAGTCCACTAAGTTGCTAAGACTGGCCTCAAACTTACCCTGTAACCCTGGCACCCCTTGAGCTCGTGATTTCCTGGTTTAGTCTCACTAGAAGCTGGAATTCCAGATATATGTATAAATAGACCTAACTGCCTGCCTGCCTGCCTGCCTGCCTGCCTGCCTGCCTGCCTGCCTGCCTGCCTGCCTTTCTCTCGTTCATTCTGGGACAGAGTTTCATTATGCAGTCCACACTATCCTGAAACTTTTGGTTCATCCCCTGGCTAGCTGGGTTCCACGCATGTACTACCACAACTAGCTACTTGTAAGTTTTAGTTCTCATTTAATAAGTTACAAGACAAATTGCTCCAATTTTAGTTCACATTCTTTCACTTGCTTAGGCTCTAGATTCCAGCATTTCAGTATCATGCCATGGGCAGAGCTCGGAACTGAAAACAGGCCATTGTGAGGCACCACGGTACATGTCGGTTGAAAGCAAATATTCTTGGTGCCGCAAAGAGCAACACATGAACAAAGTGAAAGCAATCAGCAAGGCAAGTTCTGTAAAATAAAAGCAGGTCCTGCGTGACGGAAGGCAGACCGGCAGCACACTGAGCCCGGAAGCTCACCAAGCTTTTATTCCAGAGCAGGCGAGAACAGCTTCTTTTCCTCATTGACTGGGTCTGACCTCACAGTCTTTTGTGATTGGCTAGTTTTAATAGAATTGGCAGCCAGGCTTGGTGGTGGAGGCCTTTAATCTCAGCAGAGGTGGGAAGATTTCTGTGACTTCAAGGGCAGTTTGCTCTACATATTGAGCTCCAGGATTGAATCAGAAGAAAGGAGGAGGGAGGAGGAAGAAGACAGGGGAGAGAGAGGGAGGAGGAGGAGGAGGAGGAGGAGGAGGAGGAGGAGGAGGAGGAGGAGGACGGGCACAAAGGAGATGAAGGAATGTGGAAAGAGCTAACTCCTCCAGGTCTTTAGGTTCATTAAGTTCTCAGAATGGGGAGGGACATTTCCTAAACAGATCTTTTGTTTTATTTATTGTTTGTTTGTTTAGTTGGTTTTGGTTGGAGAGATGCAAAGACTTTAATTCCTTTGCATAGAAGTTTTACACAGTGGAGCTTTATGGGATACCGGCCCTCAGTGGGGTACCCACCTTTGAAAGGGGAAGAAAAGCCCATTTGTCCAGGTGTCTATAATCCCATCATTCCATCATCCAGGAAGGTCAAAAGCTTTAGGCCAACCTGGGCCATATAGAGACTGTCTATGAAAGTAAAATAAACTGGCCATGGTGATGCACATCTTTAATCCCAGCACTGGGGAAGCAGGTGGATCTCTGTGAGTTCAAGGCCAGCCTGATCTACATAGTGAGACCCTGTCTTAAAAGCAAACAGATAGTGCATAAATAAAATAAAAAGTCAGAAACCCTACAAAGCCCTTACCTGGCACCTAGCTCAACCTCAAGCACAAACTTTAGAGTTCAAGTCTGGGGGTCAAGGGTGAAGCACGGGGGATATTCAGAGCCCAGAGGGAGGAGGCAGCCAGCCTTTGGATCAGGCTGGAACTGAACCCACCTGTTTCTTTTATATCTATGGTTACAATCTGAGGGGGTCGAATCCTATTTTACACATGAAGCGAGGTGGTGGTGACACATGCCTTTAATCCCAGCACTTAAGAGGCAGAGGCAGGTGGATCTCTAAATTCGAGGTCAGCCTGGTCTACAGAGCAAGGTCCAGGACAGCCTGGGCTACACAGAGAAACCCTGTCTCGAAAAATAAAACAAAGAACTATTTTACACACGTGGAGACCGATCTGTTGAGCCTCGTTCCATGGCATGGTCCTCATCTTGTAAATCAGCAGAGCTGGGGCTCCAGGAGTTAACTCTGCACCCCTTTGCCTCCCCCCCACCCCAGTGATACCGGGCTTATTTTTAGGCCACAGACATATCCCCACAAGGAGCAGTGTTGGCTTGCTTCTTTGTTTTTCTTTTTCCTGGAACTAATTCATCAGAGTGTTCTTACTAAGGTTACCTTGCTCCACCATGGTCAGTGGACTCTAGAATGACTACCCAGACAGAGTGCTGGTTTGGTGAGATGAAGAAAACAGAAAACTTATTTTAGTGTTGGGGGTGGAGTCAGAGCTTGTCCTTATTAGGCAAGAGCTCTACCACTGAGCAACCCGACCCACAACAGGAAATTAACTTGTTATGATTGAGAGACCCTGCTGGGAGGCCTTTGTTTCCAGTCCCTCTTTTGAGCAGACATGGCAGGTCAGCTCCTTCTGTGGCTCTATCTATG